GCAACAAGAACAGAAACAGATAGAAGGCCAAGTAGAAAGCTCTTCATTTTTGCTTAGCAGTCACGATGTATGGCTTAAATACACATAATCCCAAAGTAGTTTAACGAACCTATTGCAAAAAAAAGTAGAAGTATGGCAAAAGACCAGATGCACCCCTTTTTGAATGTTGCCAGAATTTCCGAACCAGTTAACTTCTAGAGGACTTATGATGTAAGGTGACATGCAAGTCATTTACATTGTCCATTGTATTTTACCCTCTTTGCCTAACTTAAGTAATAAAAAACTTATGTTTGTGAATCACGTGTTCCTTACCAAGCAAAATCATTTTCTTTTTGTTGATTCAGTTTGAAAAATGGTCTTTTGACTTGATCATCATTCGCTGAATGATAATTTAAGTTTGTATGAAAGTATCCTTCGCAAAGTTCGACCACTATTGCTCCAACACACAGTTTCAATTTATAATAATCACATATCCTAGCCAACTCTATACTTTCTTGTTTTTGTTATATTCACGTTGTTGAGGTTCTCTTAAAAGTGTCATGCAAGCAGCAGCACTAAGTATCTATTGGTCATTTGTGCCAAGACATCTCTTCAAAAAGTAGAACTATAGGTCTTAAGCGCAAAATGGGTTTAGCTCATACAGTCGAAAACGGAGGGTGAGGACTTGGGTGACATCCGGTTATCTGAATTAGCTTAGCTTAAATTAGCGCGCCACCTCAAAGCTGTCTCAATATCGAAAAATTGTCTCCCTTAGCACCAGCTTTTGCAGCTTATGCGTGTTGTGGTCATTGTTGTTTTAGCAGCACTACTTAATCAATTCCATGTTTGTCCAACCTATTATATCGATGATCACTTGTAGATTAAGCAACAATAATCTCTAGAGACAGATTGTTCGCATTGTTTTGATGTTCATTACTTTACGGTTAATTACACGAGAGATCACCAACAACACTACTGCGGACTCAATGCTAAAATATACTAACTCTATCGGCTGAATTCACGTTATGCTCACCAGCAAACGCATCTCCCCAGAATCCAAAGCGAACCTGTTCTAATATCTAATAACGAAACAAAATTATATGACCGAAGTTTTACAACACCTTAGTATTGCTGAGATCGTGTTCAACGTGGAACTTTTATTGCCTGACTTTCGATGTTTCCGCCTATATTGAAGCCTTTATCCCACCTTAGTGGTCCACACTGTCGTAGCGTCCGTTAGTGCAGGTAATATTAATTATTAAATAAGGGTAGGTGCAACGAGATTGTATTGTTCCAGCATCTCCAACTTTTATGAAAAAAGAGTTTTGTTTTGCGAATTACAAAAAATAAAAAGGCTGTAGAGTAAACATATTCTAACATTATTTTTTTTTTGCGGATGAGTTAATTAAAATCTTAAGAAACTAGTTTGCTAAAACTATGTGTTTTTAGCTTGA